CCCTCCCCCCTATAAACTTGTCTGGACCCCGGAAAATCTATCCCACCCCCAACAGGCTTCAACTTCCCGATTCTTTGTACACTCTTGTCCTCTCGCTCTTTTCCTCCCTCGTACATTTCCCCGTCCACTTCTGTCAGTCCTTACCTCTTGTTGCTTCATGCCTCCAGTTGCGCTGTGGGGACATCCGTTCGGTCAGACTGGCTATTCTGAACATGTTCTCGCCGCCACGCCGTGAGAAGGCACGAGCCGAAATCGAATTACCAAAGGGGGATTGTCGATATATCCTACTTCATCCCAAGCACCAAGGTATGCGCTGTGCCTGCGTAGGTTTCGCTTTGAACCGATCCATACCGGGCAGTACGTGCGAATGTGGTCACCAAGCTTGCTATCACGCAGTGAAAAAGGAAACTGGCGTTGTGGAAAGACAAGAGATGGAACATCTGAAGGCGCTAGTTGCTTCGCTGCAGAGACAATTGGAATGCGAAAAACAGCAGAGATTGGAGAGGCAAGCTCAGACCGAGGAATTGCTGGATAAGAATAAAACGGAGATGGATGCTGGGTTCAAGGGTGTGTATCGCGACATGGGTGGTCTGTGGCATCATGTTGGAATATTGAATAAACGGATGCCATATTTTCAGGACAGTATAGAAGGGTTGGTGGATGATTCGCAGAGGATGCGTAGTCAGTTGATAGAGGTCGATCATGCATCGATACGTCTAGAGGAGAGAGTCGAGGTCTTGGAAAGTTCAATATCGACTACTCTTCCCCGCCGGAGAAAAGCTTCCACCCCACCATCGACAGAAGTCGACGACGAATCCAAAGAGCAGGAGCCTACTCAAACATCGTCAGTATCATCCGATGAAGATAAGACACTGCAGCATCTCGAAACGGGCCATGAATCCTCGCATGTGGAATCTTTCAGATCACGAGTCTCCTCGGTAGGAGAGGACCCATCGGCTTGGACTGTTCATGTTTCTCTCTTACCCAAACATACACAGCCATTTCCATTTGAGAAAGACACAGCGGCGTACAAACGATGTTTGTCTCGTGGACTCCATCAAGTAGTCGTCATCCCAGACTCGGACAGTCTATCATTCAAAAACGCAGTAAGCGAAGCATTCGCAAATATCCTCCAAGGTCGAGAATGGCAACCATTAGTAGCACGAATCTGCGATGCAAAGAATCTGTGCGGCCTCCCGATGCTCCGCCAACTAGAAGAACCTCTCCTCTGCATGGACTACGATAAAGAATTCCTACAACAGAACTGCGCCGTGGTCGATGAATCCGGAAAAATCCTAGACTTGTACATCGCTATGACGAACGATACCCTATCATGGGACGCAATTCGCGGAGTAGAACCATTCAAGCCAGGACTGGAAGCAGCATGGATCCACGATCCGCTTCTGGACTTGGAAACGAATAGCTTATCGGCTTCAGGACAGCTAAATGGAAATGCGGATAAACCAGCAGCTGGAGACATCGTCCCGCCATGGTCACCATCACTTAAACGCAGTGCTTCCGAGATCTCACGAACTCCGAGTTTTGGCTCATCAACAGACGGCGAAAATGGAAGAGCGGGAACGAAACTAAGACGGCAGTGCAAAGGAGCAGGTGCGGAAATTGTCGAGAGGAGAGCAGAAGCTGTTTGAGATGTGTATTTTTGTGACTGCGATAGACTGCGTTATATTGTGTTTTTTCTTTTTTCCTTGGATTTTTTGGCTTTGGGCAGCCTGGCGCGTGGAGATTGGCGTATAGACGGCGGAACGATACCCATCATAGGGTTCTTTGTTTACTGGAATCTCTCTGCGTTTTATGTTTTTCTGGGTCCTGTGAGGAATTGAGCTGTAGACAGTACCTTGTATCATGCGAGGGATTAATACAGAAGTTTGCTTCAAAAGTTTTACAATACAGTACCTCGAAATTTCGGTCCATATTTCCTAGGAAGATATAGATTTGGTTTATCCTTAGAAAGGAAGTATTCTCGTCGTTCGTTTTCACACGTGAAACTAAATACTTCATCTCTCCTCCCCATGCCTTGAAAGTAGGTACCCGTCTGCTGTCAAGTATTTGGTATCGGTATTCGCGGGGGTTGTACTACGTACGGTATGGTATCACAACTGCTCAGGTCAGGGAAGACAAAAGATGGTCGCAAAGAAACATCCGACTGTTTTTTAACTTTTTAAGGGATTCGGAGGGATTACCTAGATTTTTGGTTTGATCGTTTTATCTATGTTGAAATAAAGAAATTAAATGGATGTTTGGAACAGGCTTTCGACAGATATACTGTAATGTAAAGCGGTGACTGGTAAAGCGGCAGAATTCGACACCCCACCTCCACCAAGCAATTTTTGGAGGGGTAATTTTCAGATGCGGTCCTAACTCTTGAGTTTCATTTCAAACCTCAAGATCATCTAAACTCGACCAAGAAATCTCATCTCATCTTGATACTGAACTCCCTCTATACGACAACCAAAGACAAAAATAAGAACAAGAACACTCACCTCACCGCACAATTTCTGCATCCGTATCCTAAGGACCATCTCATCTCATCTCATCACATCCTTACCCCGGAAATTTGAAAAACACGATATCTCAGTCCACCCAAAGGTTCATCATCTCTTATTCCGAAAAAAGGGACTGGAAGAAGTGGAGATGGGGGGTATGTTGACGGATAAGATTCATCTGCCGGGGGATATGGAGCAGACCCCGGAGGATATTTTGAGTAGTAGTTTGGCGGTGATTTTTCCTGATGAGTGGGTGTATTTCTTTTCTCTCTCTCTTTTATTGTTATTTTGGCTTCTTTTCTTCTTTCTGGGTTTGAGAACTTGTTTTTGAAATTCTGGGATAGGTGGGTGGTGGGTGGTGATGAGTGAGGGATTAGAATTTGATGATGGGGTTGAACTTGGGGGGGAGGGGGAGGATTGTCGGCTAGAAGATTTTGATGAGTTATATCTGCCTAGTAAGGGAGAGATGTTTTGTTTTTGGGGTTTCTTTGGTTTCTTGTCTTCGTTTCAAGACTCATGTTTACTTTCATATATATTTGCTATGAAATTCGGTTTGAATCCTTCATTTCATACCACGTCACTCACTTCAACCTCTACACGTTTCCAACCCTCTTATTTAGAACCATTTTCACATCCCTCTCATCCCCACCCTCTCACTAACATAACCCAGCATCCAAAACCAACACGGCGACTCCACAACCTCACCAACCTACATGTCCCCTCTCTTCGGCCCCCTAACCCTCTCCCTTGCCGACCCCCAAACCGAAACCTCCCGAACCTTATTCTCCCACTTCCTCTGGAACGCCTCCATTCTCCTGGCCGAGTATTTAGAAGAAGGACCCTTCCCCCTCTTCTCCGTGTCCTCAAAATCCGTCGTCGAACTCGGAGCCGGCACCGGATTAGCAGGTATGCTAGCGAACCTCACAGGAGCACAGAGAACAGTAATCACCGACTACCCCGCGGAAGAAGTGCTGACCAACATCCGGAAAAATGTCTCTGAGAATTTAGTTAATAGGAAAGAAGGGAAAGGGAAGGGATTTAGGGATGGTGGGAGTGGGAGTATCTCAGTTGAAGGCCATGAATGGGGAGTTCTCGATACGGATTTTGCAGAAGGGAATAAGGGGTCTTTTGAGAGGGTGTTGGTAGCGGATTGTTTATGGATGCCATGGCAACACTCGAATCTTCGGAAGAGCATCGCTTGGTTCCTTGCTCCTGCTATTTCCCCTGCTAATACCCAGGGAAAGGATGCGAGATATCTCCCACCGTCGGATGAGAATCCTTATACTCCGAATCAAGGGGGTCTCGCGTATGTGATTGCGGGATTCCATACGGGACGGGCGAAGATGGCTCCGTTCTTTGACGTGAAGGGTATGAGAGGGGATGGATTGGTGGTGGAGAGGATCTGGGAGAGGAATGCGGAGGGGAGGGAGAGGGAGTGGAGGGTTGATAGGGGGGAGGAGGATAAGGATGTTACGGCTAGGAAACGGTGGTTGGTTGTTGTGGTTGTGAGACGGCTTTTGGATGGGGAGTGATGGATGGGGGTGTAGATATGGATCAGTGATTTGTTTCCTGAATGATAATGATAAGTTGCTTGACGAGATGACTTTGTTCATACCAATTCATCCTCATATAAATACTAATGTCATCACTTGGATATGTCAAGGTTCGTTTCTCCTTGTGGGGGTCCTTTTTCAAGGTGTCGATTTAACACATACCAGGAAATGCCAAAGAAGACTTGCCCACTAACCCCGTCTCGCTTACTCATTATTGACTATGGGAACATCGTCTCCTCCACTTTTACAAAAGTCGACACCTGCACTTCCTCTCCCCCATGAATCATTCTTGATCATTTCAACTAATATCCAACAATCTCACTTCTTCCTTTCCCAAAAAGCCTACTCACACTTCTCAATAAATCCTCTTCAGTTTGCCACGCCCTCAACTCCCTCTATTATACCAGACTTATCAGCGATACTCCATACCTACAGTACCCACCACACTTCATTAAACAACTCTCAAAACACAAAATCTTCACATACACACATCATCCAGTGAATCCCCCAGTCCCCACCACACACCTTTAAAATCCGCCATAAGCTATCCCCCAGCAAATCCACCAATTACACACCTGTCGGTGGCACCCTAGGTAACTGCAATGGCCTAGTGGTCCGGAAAAAGCCCAAAGGCTACTGTACTAGCCCTGTAAAGACATATAGTACTTATAAGTTAATTGATACTGTAAAACTCAGTCCGTCTGGTTTTAGGTCCGCTGCGCTCTGTGTATTAGGAGTTGGATTTTTTTTGCGGGGGTTTTTTTTTGGCTTTTTTGGGCGGGGGAGGGGGAGGAGAGGGGGTTTAAGGGGTGCTGATCGGTGTTCTGAGGGCTAATGTGAGGGTATAGAAAAGTGAGCTTGGTGAATCCTATTCCGGGAATAAAGGCAGCTGTTGCTACCTGTTTTATTGGCAGCGACGGGAGGTAAAAGTTGGATTTGGATATCGTTTTCAATATAATGTTCTCTTGTTCGGAATCAGTTCTCTTTATTTCATATCGGTAGTATTAATGTTATTTTTATGATTTTATCTTCGGAAATCTACTCTAAATTAAGCTTTCTATCTTTCCTTGACATTTCGTTTGTAAACAAATCAACAGCAACAGTTCCAGGATCCACAAAACCTCTCGTCACAGAGTAATACCTGTAACCTTTTCCTCAAAGGAAAGGAGGCAGTATCAAGATTTCATTCCTCCGCCCCCAATGGCCAAGGTTCGGCCCAACCAGCCCTGCGTCAGCTTATATCCTCACCACGTCACGTACTCTACCTCTCCTCCATCAAAACCCATAAGGCAACAAACAACCCCATTCCATTCAACCTCTACCCCCAAGCCTCCCAAAAACCCAACCATGTCCACGCCCCAAACCTTCCCCCTCTTCCCCCACCTCCCCNTCTCCTCCATCAAAACCCATAAGGCAACAAACAACCCCATTCCATTCAACCTCTACCCCCAAGCCTCCCAAAAACCCAACCATGTCCACGCCCCAAACCTTCCCCCTCTTCCCCCACCTCCCCTCCGAACTCCGCATCCAGATCTTCCTCCTAGCCCACCACACCACCCCACCCCGTCTCCTCCCCTTCCACCTCCTAAAACCAGACCTGGACTACCTCCGTCCTTTGCGCAAACCATGTAACAACCACGCGCATATCACATTCTCGCGTCTCCCTATCCCGCCATTACTCCATGTCTGTCGGCTATCTCGAGAGGTAGCGCTACAGCACTACACAGCTGGGTTCCATAATGGAGAGGGTGGGAGGATGTTAGTGCTAGGAAGGGAAGATAGAGATGTCGAGACGTTCACGACTTGTTCGCATGAGGTTGGCAGTCATGAGAATGGGAATGGCGATGGGTTATTCTGGGAGCGAGGGAGGGATGTATGGTTTCTGAACGAGGCGGAGGGGCCATCTATCTTGAATGATGCGAAGACGGCTTGTATCTGGGGCGGTCAAACGGGGATTAAATTTGGCCGCGTGGGAACTTTGTGTATGCGCATCGAGACGTTGAATAGTCTCGGTCTAGGGGCGGGGATCATGTGGGAGAGTGTCGAGTGTTTGTGGGTGCTTGATGAGGATTTTGCGGATAATGATTGGAGGCAGTTCGCGCTGCAGAAGGGGAATAAGGTTACTAGGATTGTGAAGAATTCCGGGCTGAGGAACGCGGTGGGGGGAGAGGTGGATGTGGAATTCTTGAGGCCGAAGACGGTGGGTGAGGAGGAGGAGGAGTGGGAGTTGGGGATGCAGGAGGTGTGGATTGATGGGGAAGAGGTTCTGGGGAACATGAGACTTTTGAGGAAGCGGATTGGAAGTTAGATTTCCTTCTGTACTTTAGAAAAGACCTTAGATACAGCTATTGGAAATTTTGTTTACTGTTCTCTGTAACTCGCTTAACCAGAAACCTTCCGAGGTATAAACACCTAAAAGAACCCCGTCATTCATAACATAGAAGAAAGCAATGCTATGAGAAAACGCTAGAATGAAGGCGTCCGTCAACCCTAAGCATGCTCCAAGAGAAAAGAAAAAACCCAATATCCATCCCTTAACCCATACCAATTCTCTCTACTCAAAATCACCATATCTCAGCACCTCCAACAAACTTCCCACCCTAAGATGGGCTTGAGTTCGCGAAAGCCGGGGATGACTACATCTCATTCAACTAAGCTAATACTTCCCTGTAGCTTCTTTCCGTTGCGACGTAAAAGAAACATCCTTGATCATCATGAAGTCTCGTTATTAAGTCAAAGGAGGTCATTAGGAAGCGTGTCTGAATTTCAAGAAGTCTTCACATACCTACCTACCTAACTACCTATTTTATAAGTGCTGAACTTGTTGGACTCATCCAAAACAGCTACTTTCCAGCCCTGGAAGTTACTACGACACGAAATCCAGAATCTCCACCCCTCTCCCGTTTCTTCCTTATCGCATGTTCGTTTGCCAGTAAAAGAGCAATCAAAAGGAAGTCATGATCCAAACACCACCCGCACCCCCTACCCCCAAAACAGCTTTACACCCCAAACCCCCCTTCAAACAAAAAGGTAGAAAGGGGGGGGGAAATAAATATACTCGGTACGAGGATCGAACTCGTGATCTCTTCTGGCTGCCCAACGAGGTTCTCTACAAGGTGCTTGTCTGCAAGCACCCCCGGCCGGCCGGATTGGAAGGATACTGTATACATCTCTTGGTGTGGGAGATGCGCCGTACCACTAGGTCAACCGAGCTGCTTGTGTGTTCTTTTGTTGAGGGTGGTTTTTTTAATTAGGTATTTGGTGGTTTGAGGGGTTGTAAGGGTTTCATGGTTGAGGAAGAAGGCGTGGTGTTGGTAGGGAAGGAACGACTTACGAGGGAGGTGGGTCAATGGAAAAGCCACGGGACCACCATGGGATACGACCACAATGAAATGGAAGTAATGGTAAAAACATTGTTCTTGGATTTAATAAATTAAATACCCCTCCTATTCCCAAAGCATACCGCCGCTGCTCTAATAGTACCTACCTAGATGCATTGATTAGATACATGGAAGATACAGTAGGATATATACGATACTAACATCCCATTCACAAATCATAATTAATTCCCCACCCACCTGCCTCTCACTTAATCCCCAAACCAAAAACCTTTCCTTAACACCAGCTGGTCTACGTTTTCATTCACCCGCCTAACCTACTTAAGTCTAGCCAAAGCACAAAAACCATCTCCAAAGCAAGACCTTTCTCATTATCGTAATCGCAAAGAGACTATCATGCACAGAGCAGCAAATGCCTATTTCAAAAACCAATAAGATCCCCCCCAAAAGAGGGAACAATTAAACAAACAAACACATGAAATATACACCTCACCTCCTCCCTACTCTAGATACCCAAAGCCCAAATCTTCAGTCGTCAATCTTCGAATACACGAGAGTATATGTAAGATCTCACACAAAATGCCACACCATAAACCCCTCCCACTCGCGTCTTCAAGTCCACATAAACCCTTAACATCTCACACGACTCATTACTCTAAATCGACAACTACCAGACTTACCACAAAGGTCCTCAAGATCCACAATACACAGAACAAAACACACAACACAAAAGAGAGTTTCTTTTATAAGCAGTTGATTAATCAATTAATCAATTAATCATTTAATTCCGTATTCCCACTACCTCACCACACCTCACTTCACCCCAACCCACCTCATAAAAAGACGAGAGAGAGAGAGACAGAGAAGAATCTATACCCCATCCCATTCCATCCCATCCCAACCCAAAATTGACAAATACCATACCCTAACAATTCAATACCCCAAAGACCCGCTCCAAAGACCAAAAAAAAGACCATAAAGGTAGACAGAAAGACACCAATATGAGCACCCAACACGCTGCAAAGTCAAAATACACTATCACCCAACTAGAAAAAAGAGCCAAGTGGCATCGCAGAATATCCATCCCTTACCATCAATAAACCCGTGGTCCCAAGTAGTTAGTCCATATGGATGCCCCATAAACGCCATCATGTGCATACCATACCCCAGCAACCCAGTAGCAAAATACAAAAGTACTGTAGCAAATGCCATCCAAAAAGACCATGAAATCATATCACTCATCAACCATCAAACCCTGCCTCATAAAAAAGCCACCTCACATAATAGCACATCCACTACTCCTAGCTCTCCGTCGTCTTCCAATACCACCCATACCAAGACCACCCTCTTCCTCGTCAGCATGGAGCATCTGCGCTTCTCGAGCTCTTCGTCGTCTCCTCCGAGCACCCGCACCGCCAGCACCGGCTTCCTCATTCGCCATCATATACTCCGCCCACTTCCTTTCCAATCTCGCAGCAGCGGGAAGATCGCCTTTTAGGACCCTTCTCTTATGCTCGTCAACTGTCTGCTGCCAAACATGGAAACATTTCATCGAAATGATCTGAGTTGGATAAGTTGCCTCGTTCTGTGCACCAGTAGGCTTGCTAACTTCGGAATTGCGAGAGAGAACTTCGCGGATCCCAGTCCAGGTGACATTCTGACAGTCGAAGACATCCATACTGAGGCCAACTTGAGGTCGAGAGCGAGAATTGGTAGTCCGTGAGGCCCGGGTTCGGATCATAGATGCTGCTTCCGCTAGAACAAGATCACTAATTTTGGTATTGTCCATTTCAACCGTGCTAAGGCTGGTGCAAGCACGAATGACAGGTAGCATTCCAGTGTCACCAAGATTCTCACAATAGCTGACGGAGAGATGCTTCATTCTAGGAGCGCAGGGTGCTTTAGCGAGATGTTCGGATAGGAAGATGTTTGTAAGTTGGGATAGATCTTCAATTTCAAGGTGAGTGAGTCGCGGTGTTGTCTTTACAATATCCATAAGTGCATTGTCAGTTAATGCAGTGCACCCATTCAACTGAAGACCTTCCAAATCCGGTACTAAGTGAGCCAGTGTCTTTACCCCGACACTGGTTAGTCGGTTGCATCGACTGAGATCAAGATGTTGTAATCTCCTTGCCGGTACAAGAGGAAGATCGGTGAGAATATCGATTTCTGGATCATCACCAACGGCCATAGTCCGAAGTGCTATGTCAGACAAATCAGTACATCCGCTGAGCACTAATTTCTGCAAGCCGTTGGTTTCAAAAATGTTTTGAGCCAGGTCAAGGTTGTTGAAGCCTCTTACTTCACCTGCCCGGAGGTCCTTCAACTTGGGGCATCCCAAAACAACGGCTCTAATACCTCGAGCGTCCATATGTGTACACCAAGATACATTGAACATCTCCAAAGATGGGCACGATTGTGCAATGATCTTACAGGTCCCGTTGGTAACTGCTGTTAGGCCGGTAAGGTTCAAATGTGCAAGTCGCTCATTGCTTTTCAAGAGGCTATGAAGTGTTGAACGCTGAAAGTTCCGGCAGCCTTCAAGAGTCGCATTTATGAGATTCTTGCAAGCCTTCACCACCATTTCTGCTCGTTTGTAATGCTCAACTTGAACGCAACCTCTCAAGTTCAGGTCCTTTACAAATGGTCCGGCAGTGACAATTATCTTAGATAGTGATTCTGCGGGTATGTCTTTGTAGAATTCCGAGGCATCAAAACATGTCCAAAGTTGGCCATCGAAGCATGCTTTATAAAACTCCTTGCTCACAATCGAAGCTCGTACCAATTCCTTTGGCAGGAGATACTCGAGAATAGCCAATCTCATTTCATGTGGTATCTCGCCCCAAAAATCAAAGTTTATTCGTCTTACTCGCTGTCGCGTAGTCTTTGCGAGAGTAAAGTAGTCCTCAATTACCTCGGGAAAGGTTGATTCTTCGGGAAAAGATGCCATAAGTCGTGGGCTCAAGCCTGAAAGTGGACTTGTAGGAGTGCTTGTACTGGGAGATCCTTGTTCCCGCTTGCGACCCGAAAAACTGCCATTGGAATTGTTCAGGAACGGAGAATCGAGACCCGGGGTAGTGGGGGCAGTAGAATAACCAGCCATGGTTGACTGGGATGGGTAAGAAATGTCATAACTTCGTGGAGAGCTCGCCGAAGCCAAACTCATGCTCGAGACAGCTGCTCTTCCGCCATAGGGACTGTTCCTCGTTCGCTTTGAGCCCAATTGGGCGAGCGCAGGAGAGGATGAAATTCGTTGAAGACTCTTCAGTATCTTTGCCTTTCCCCTTCGTCTGCTCGGTTGCTCAATCGCGATGGCGTCAGTATGTTCGACGGACATTGTGAGGTTCGGGAGTGGAGTCGCTCCATCCGCCAAAGTGTTCGCCATCGTCACCGCTGTAGTCAGGAGGGTGTTAATGACTGAATAGATGCGGAGGAGAGGGTGAAAGAGAAATTGCGACCCGTACATGAAGCAGTAGTTCGCAACTTCGCAGTTTGGCAGATGAAAAGAATCCGAGACCGCGCGGGGTACCAGTATTTTGCCCCGGAGTGTTCTTGCCAGTAGGTAACTTCCGGTAACCTTAAAGTGCAACGCAGAACCGATACAGATCAGACGAAACCGAAAGACTTGTACGTGTCGCTGGGCATCTACAGGCACAGCCACAGGCAGTCGTGGCAGCAGTAGTTTCAAAAAGAAGAGAGGGCTCTCACGATGGTCGGGTGAAGGGGGATGGGGGACTTGTTGGCCGGACCAGCTCGTAATATGTGATATCTGTCGTCAGCCGATGTGCGAGCAGTTCAACATGAACCAGACCAGCAAAGCCGACGGCTGGGTCACCTCAGTGAATATATCGGCGATAGGATACTCCTACGTGGAAGTAGAAAGAAGCAGTTGTTCCCCTCACACAAAACTGGCCCTCACACCAGTGCAACTGTAACTGCAACTGTAACTGCAACTGCAACCGTTATCTGCGACAAGACTCAAGTCCCAATACAAAAGGTGGAGCGATGCAGTACAGAGGGTCGGCGTCGTATTGTTATCGCTCGGATTCTTTATCTGCTTATCGATAGCGGAGTCGCTGTACTGGACTGGCGAGACTGGTACTGTACTGCTACTGGTACTGAGCTGTTTTTGTCTCACTACGAGGGGAGCTCGTGGCCATTGGCCGGGGGATGAGAACGACGCGGGTAGGAGAGGTGTATCACACGTTCACGAAATGATTAGACAATGAAAAGTTGAGGTGAGAGAAGAGGGGATTCAACTCTACGACTACTCAGCGCCAGCATCTACATAATATGTACAGAATGTCAGAATCATCATCTTTCCTTTTTCTGCTGCTGCTGTTGCAAGGGCCGTAGCACGCCACCAGCACCACCACCTCCACGAACACTGACACTACTGACACAGACACAGACACTTCTTCGGTATTTGATGGCTTTCTCCTTTCTTTAACACCTAGCACCCGCTCTAAGCCAACATCGCTCAGTCTACCTAACTATGATTGGTGAAGAGGGAACGATGTCCCCGCACTCACACTGACACGACAGCGGGGTAGCCGTGGTACGCGGGGGATGTCCCTAGAATCTTGCGGAGACGCTAAAACTCAATAGTAGAATAGCCTCTCCGAAGCCGGGACGCCTACTGAATCCAGCTAGAGCAAAAAAAAAAGGGCGGGGCAAGTTGCTGTTTTTCAAGGTTCTCTTGAATCTCCGCAGAAGGAAAAAGAGTCACACTGCTACCAAGTACCAAGATAGCTTCCACATGTTGCAACGGACTGTGATTTCAATTTTCAAGACATCCAAGCTATGTCCCGTACGATCATCCGCTACCAGCCCAGGAAACACTTCCGATAAGGCAGAAAAGACTCTAGGTGCATGGCTTTTGGAAAAGTGTGGATGGTTATCCATGTTGCGTGTGATGGATGTGATCATCTGCGAGTCGAATTAGCGCAACAACATCGTGACCTTGGAAGTAGTAGTGGGCAAGGTAAACAAGTCATCTAGCTTCTTTTCAAGACTGCTCCAATCGGTATCATTTGGGAGTCGCAACGTGATCTGGAGGTAAGGCGTCATCATAGCCTGGATATCGATATTCCTTATCTCTGTCTCTGTTCCCTAGTATTCATGCACTTGCAATAATCAATTTCGAGATTTCGACAGAAATCTTTGCGGTCCCTTTTTGAATCACATGAAGGGCGACTTTATTAACATACTGAATCAGGTATGAATCCAAACCAAACTCCGCTCAAGTCCACTTTCAAAGTGCAACAGTCAAGAGCTCGGCTATTCATATACACACGTGAGCATTTGCTCCATTCTCGTGTGCGTGGTAGAGAACAGGTGAGTGTGAAAATTAATCAAGACACGAAAACATCTGGTCGTAAATGGATTATTTAAGACATTATAAATCATCACCAAATTACGACGAGGGACAATTTCTTTGTACTGGATGTGTTGAGATTAAAGCCATAAGATAGTTCAGAAGTGGGAGGACTTGAAATACCATGAAGCTTAATATCAGGCATAGGGTTGATTATCAATTTGGTACATATACGAAAGAGGACAGATAATTAGTTTCAGCCTCAGGTGATACTGTAACAGGCTCTGTCAACTTTCCTTATTGTACCGAGGGGAGGTGCTTGTCACCAGGAGCTTGTTGTCAGGAATCGAACCCGACATGAAGCTTAATATCCAAAGTACGAGGAAGGAAGTTGGATATATGATATACTTGACTGTTGTATATTGTTTCTACGGTTTGAAACATGCGAATATCTAGAATGGACGCTATGATTATAGATAGATCCTATTTTCCGCACAAGGTTCTCCGCATGGTTGTTTCCAAAGGGAGGTTCTAATATGCGAAGTGGACCCCAAGAACTATTACCGAAAACAGCTGTTGTAAACATATTTCATCGCAGCTTTTGATACCCAAGAGTATCTCACACACTCACCCTAGATTACTTTACGAGAATCGCGCCTGAACCGCGACCAATTCTCCATCAGGAGCAAGATGTCTTTCCTGGGTTCGAGAGGAAATTGTATGCATATGTGTACAGCATCAGCCCACATGCACATTTCTTTTTGCATATCACATCCCAAAACAACAAGTAGATATCTTGGTATTCAGTGGGCCATATTACCGAACACAAACAAATCCACTTCACCCCGTACATAGAACGAGCCTAGAAACCCATATCAGCTTTATAATTCAGCTCTGGGGTCCATCTATCAGTGAAAGAATGAATGCGTCGTTCACTCAACTAGACGACCTCATATCAAATAACAATGTGGCTTGCGGAGAAAGTGGTTCGAGTGGTTACGCAGGGAGGGGTCAATTTTACACAGAGAAACCAATCGTGACAGGGACCATAGCGGCGGGGTCGTCTCCTCCAATGGGAACTGCAGTCAGCTCTGCCCCCTTCTCAATCTGATCCCAAAGATGTCGGCTGGTGGAAAAGCAAGCCCATTGCGGAAAAATGTTCGAAACCTGAAACGCTTTTGCTTTGCGCCGATCCCGGATTTTCGTAATAATATGTTTCTATTATTGCAGAATCTTCCGAAGAGTGGGCGGGATGTTTTTCATTGGAAGTATAGAACAGGGGGCGTCTTAAACGAGGTTGGAATTATATATTGACGAGACAGAGGGTGGAAAAAATTCCTCACAATCGTTTGTGTAAACACATGATGAACAACGCCATTGTTTTCCAGTGGCTACCTCGATATGCTCTTCGGGTTGTTCGAAATTAAGAAATAAAGAGCAGCAAACACAAAGCTGTCGGCAGATACGTCCACTAGAATAACGGCTCTGCTTTCAACCATCATCCTTGAGCAGATAGAGACTTGAGAAGTCGGGGAGAGTCCATATACGACTCCGGATCTTCCAAAGATGGCAAAACTGGAAAGTAATAACTTTTGGTATGTTTCAAGGGGACTGATGAACTGACTGGCGCGGATCTTTAGCCGCTTTCTCTGTTTGCTTTGCCCCACCCGTAGACTCTAAAGATAACGTCGAGTCTCCGAAGGTCTCACCTTATGTTGAGAGAGTTTGTGCAAGTATGAGAAAAGTATAGGGATATCCCCATAAATCGTGAAGATTTTGATAGAATGGTGCCTGAAAAAAAAAGGAAAATATAGCAATGACTCTGCTTGAAAAAAGGAGAGATTTTTCTGTTGTTTCCGGCACAGACTAACCGCTGTAGGTAGTAGGAACCTTTGTACGAAGCATCAATCCGATAGCGCTGGTGGCCCCGTGCTTAGGGTTTGTTGGTGTGTTGAGCCGAAGTATGAAGTTTGCACTCTAGTGGTGCATTAGGATGGCGTGCGGGTTCTTCATTGCGGGAGGGATGCTGGGCAATTGCTAGTCTAGTTCCTGGACACGCACTTGCGCTATGGTAATAATATGTTTTTGAAAGGGACGAAGATCGGTGATTGCCTAACACTCGGTACTCTGTACTGTACTCGTACCTCCCTCCGTACAGCTCTGGGATATATTGCCCAGACTTCCCCGCTCGACTGGTGGTGGTAGTGAGTCCTGAGTTCTGAGTTCTGGGTTCGAAGTTCAGAGTTCAACTGAAGTCGTTGGTAAAGTACCTGCCAACGGGAGTTCGTACGCGTACGCTACAATGATCGAGGTAGAGATTCAGGTTGAGGGGGAGAAGGAGAGGGAGAGGGAGAGGGAGAAGGAGGACGAGACGGATGCCATGGAGCCGCCGGAGCGAGTGTCTTGTCTGCCAACTTATCGCCCTCAGGATTTCAAGCTGGTCGAGGTCGACGAGGAAAGTGAGGAGAGAGTGCGATTGCTGCACAGACTGCCAAACCCCGTGAATCAACTCCTTCTTGCGCCTCCAGCTGCGAATAATCCCAATAGCCGGAATCCTCCCCTTACTGGTACCGGTACCCTATTGCCGCAGACTCAGACTCAGAATCAGGCTCAGACACAGACTCAAATACAGGTACAGATACAGGCACAGGTACAGGCACAAGTGCAGGATGAGGAGCGTTGCCGGTCTGATTCGAGCCAAAGCAAAAGCCAGAGCCCGCGCCAGAGCCAGTCAGCGACCACCACACCACCCAAATCTAGCGATTTGCTGGTGTTGCCTCAACTAGCAGCACCAGCACCTCTACCTGCCAGCCACGACCGCACCAACCCCAATACCTGTACCAACCAGACTCAACACCAACACCAAAACCTCCACCTCCACCCCTCTCGTCCTCGTCCTCGTCCCCATCCGCACCTTCGAACTCACTCAACCCACGCCGAACGAACGAAGATCGCCCCCCCTGACGCATTGCAACTTCAGCGCTCGCTCAGCGTCCCTTCTTCCCTGTCGCAAATCGCGACCGCCGCCAAACCCGCTTTTGCGTCGGCCAGCCAGGTCCTTCCTGGCAGCACCACAAGCAAAGCCAAACCACCCACGAAACAAGCACGGTCGTCACATCGCAGGAATAATGGTCTAGAGAGAGGTCCGCCACCTGCAATGCTCACGCAAGGTTCCTACAAGCTGGAGATTGACACTACTTCAACCACCGACGACTGGGTTGCATCACAACAAATCACTCCTTCACCAAAACCCCTGACCTCCAAATCGCAACCACCACCGAGCCCTGCCCAGCCAACATCTGCGAGGTCCTTCGACAGCGCCGGCTCACGACCCCTGATTAAGCCCATTCGCGGCTTCAAACCATCTTCGCGCAAAAGCTCGGAAATGGCTTTGCGCCGATCCTCACAAGATGCCGAAGGTGCGCTGAGAGCGCTGGAAGGATACAGACTTTCACGACGGATTTCCGATCCATCAGATACACTCGCCAGCGACGACAGCGACATGTTTTTGAGAGCCGCTCGTGAGCAGGAGGAGGAGGAATCACCAAGACAAGTCAATGGACGCCGAGAAGCATTGACTCGGCTGGACAGCAGAAGGGTAAGCGATACAGGATGGCCTCGATTGGAGCCCCATCATTCAATTCATCCGGTATGAATGTACCAGCAAGAAGCTTTGCTAACATCTCACTCAGCCCTCCCGAATTGGCCAACGTGCGTCACTGATGCCACCTAGTCATCTATACCAGCCCTCACTATCTCGCCGCAACGGATCCGATCAAGAGTCGACTGTCTCTCGCTCTACGGAAGAACGACCAAGCGGAAATGGAAGAGTTGGACAAGTTCTTACATATCGCCCTTCTGAGAGGTCAGACAGGGATCGTATGCCCCCTTCCGCACTAGACGACATCAACAAGAGTCGATTCCATGGATCATACATCCGTTCCAGCCCAACCACACCACGGGCTCCAACGTCTAGAGAGATGTCTCTGTCTCCAGAATCACCGGCATTCCAAGGACGGAGAGGATCGTACCCCGACCCCGCTTCAGTACTACCATCACGTCAACCCACATACCGCCAATCGAATTTATCATATGCCGCGCATCGTAACCAGAGTACCTCACCACTCGTTTCGCGTGTGACAGACACGCAAGAAACACATGCGACTGAGACAGGTCGTACGGCTGAAGGTACTGAGTCAAGCGTGTCTACCACAGCACCATCAACGGTGTGGGACGAATTGGAAGACCTCAAATCACGCATAAACCGACTCGAGCTCACACGAAAACTTCCAGCTACATCTGGTGCTGCTATGTCTCGTGTGTCCAACGACAGACCGCCAACAGCAACAACTACAGTTACTACAATGTCCACTTCTCCAAAACAACGAGCTCGTGGTAACAGCGTATCACCAATCGATGGCAAGGGCACAGAGCCTCCTGAATTGCACCCATTGTTACACTCCGCACTTGCCAAATCGAAACCCTTGCTTTCACCGGAAATTTACAGCGCTTTGGAGGCCACAGCAGCTGATGCTCTGACCATTGCTGCAATGATGGGCACATCTGGTCAGCCGGGTCCAATTTCAAGTGCCCAGTCAACGATAGATCGCCCAATGTCCAATGTCTCGGATCGCCAAGTACGACGAAAGGTAGACAGCATGTGCCGTGGCTTAACAGAGTTGTGTTTGGCTTTGTGTGACGGGAAGCTTGAGGCTTCCTCTCAAATTACCCTGAGGCCGGGAAGTCGAGATGCGGATATAGTAATTCCTAGTGTCGAGCAACCCGTCGTTCCACCGATTAACACAAATCTGGCAAGAGTAAAGGCCAGTCCGAGAGCTCTCAGTTCCCTGGAGGCTAGGAGGAGTACCCTTCTCAACATGCCTGCTCTACCAAGTCCAAGATACACTCCATCGGAAAGTGGAACTCCAACTCAAGCCAACATGGCTGGACGACGGAGCTCTTTGTTAGTTATCCGAAATCGCCGAGGACATACCGAGGAACCAGAGGAGAAGGAGGATATCCGAATTCGCGCCCCTTCGAGAGCTTTCACGGACATGGGTCGCTTCAAGAACCTTCCACCAAGAGAACCTGTTCAGCAGGACCCCCCGCCAGAGAGGGCCCCAACCGTTCAATCTTGCCTGCCCGTTAGAAGACATATAGCAACATCAAGTCTCACAAATTCTACACCAACTCCAGCAGCCACCCCAGCTAGCCGAAAATACCTTGATCGACCAGCAGCGGAATTGAACGGCCCTATCAATAGATTAGCGGAGCAGCGAAAATCGGGGTTTGGCGTTGGGAGAGCCAACAGTCTTATTATCAATCGACGTCTGCGACCATCAAGCACTAATGACTCATCCATTGTCGGTCAATATCAATGAATTAAGGGATGCAGAATACTACACTTGTAACAACAAAATCACATTATTGGAGTTTGGGGAAATGTCAATCTGGGGGATTGACACAGGAATTGTCTTTTGTCTTTTATTTTTGTGTACGGCTCGATTTTTGCTACACACGGTACTTACTGGAAAAAGGAGCATTTTCGAGATACCCCCCAACCATCCCCTCAAAACATGGCGCCGAGACGCAGGCATGCAAATAAATAAAAGGGAAATATGGATTTTTTTACACTGGTTTGATTGTTTTCAGGAGCACATGGGGGAGCAGTGTGCGGGAGAGGGCAAAAGTGAGAGGAAAAGAAGAGAGATGGATATGATGGAATAGATGAACGGCAAAAGGGGCGGTTCCGATCCTGAATGTCGAGAGCTTCGATGATGAATACTGCCTTTTTCAAGATACTCTCCTTTCTTTACACGGGCGTGGATTCCTTTTTTTTCCATTCTTGTTACTTTGCTGCCAACGCGTTCCATTTGTTCTTTTCAGCCATGTTTATATATATTAGCTACTGCTCTACTACTATTCTTTGGGTAGACATATAGGGGCTCTTTTTGTCGCGTCTCTTGCTGGGGTGGAGGTATTCAAGGATATTGAAGGGGTTGGTTGGCAAACTTTACTTGAAAGCTTTGGGATGAGAGAGGGAGGGGGGAAGAGAGTGTGCGGATTGGTGTGAATTGGTGCTATTGGCGGAGGCGTTTTTTTACAGGGTGGATGTTCAAGCATACAGTACATACTTCTTTTTTTTAGTTTATAAATAATTTCTCTTCTGTGTTTTGATACACTTTAAAGTGTCAGTGATGACTGAAAATCCTGTGACAACTTAAAGAGTTTACGAGTACCCGAGATGAGATGCTACTGTGAAAAGTACTGATGAGGTGATGGAATTACATTGTTAGACTTGTAACCTTGTATTTTCTTGAGGTTGGGGTTCTCGCTTATTGGTTGATTCGTTCATCCATTTCGTCCATTTGCGTACTCCGAGTGTGCTATAGTAGGATTACGTGGTTACTGGTGTGGTGTATCAGCATGCTGAGATGAAACGGAAGTGGTACAGTATGTGGATGTAGCGGGGGTTCTTTCTTCAAGTGAAGACAGATGACCTTGGGCCTCTAAAAGGGGGAGGTGATTGTAGTATCATGGTTTGGTGATGGCTCTTTAGGATGGACTGATTCACTTGTGAAGAGGGGGCTGCAGGGGGGAGGCAAGTGGAAAGTTTGTGGTTAAGGGGAGAGGATTTGTATTCGAGGGAATCTTACTTGGATGTATTGTATGTAGGTTGTAACAGAGCTCAAACTTTTGACATCAGAAATTTGGTTGAGATGTCTGATGTATTGATGGTATTTATGCGGATCTATACTGTGATATCTTGTATGTTTTTCCTATGAAGTGTTTCCCTTAGTTGTTATCGCCCATTCGGCAATGCTTGTTTAATACGGAAGGCAAGGAAACGTTTAAACAGGAAGTTCATTCAAAGTTAGTTTACGATGCTTCGGGTATTAATTTATATGCTAGACTCTTTGAGTCTAATGACATCTATAATAGACTAGCAGTCGAGGAAATAGGTATCAAAGGCACATACTCCATTCCCAAATACCGCAACCCAACCTGCCATTTCCCAAACCAAACACAAATACGAACATTCAGCCCCTATCTCCTCCTCCCTCCTCGCTAAACCAAAATCTCATCCCCACAATTCCCCTCACATCCCGGCCACTCACCCCCCCTCAGCAAAAAATCCTCCACATTCTTCCGCCACCCACCCCCAATACCCGTCGTCAGAACCTGTGCATCCCTCCAATCATCCTCATAAATGGGCCAGAAATGCCAGAGGCCCCCCGTTGCTCCGGAACGCTGAACCCCGGGTGGCTGACGGAGAACACCCGCCAGCTCGAATTTCTCCAGGTTGTAAAGGTGGGGACGGATGTCTGTGAGGAAGGAGCGCCATGTTTGGTGGGATGGTGAGAGGGAGGTGTTGTGGATGCGAAGGTTTTTGAGGGAGGGGGTGAGGAGGGGGGG